TTCAAAACGGGTTTATAATATCAATGTCAGTGTGTCGTCTTTGTTTATCCGACCATTTCATCGGTGTGCGTAGAGACCGACTTCATCCTTCACATTCTTCAGTCGGTGATATGGGATACCACCTTCCATGTATCCTTCCGCCGTTATGTAGTGCTAACTATAGTGCTATGTACTTTACGTCAGGACTACTTTAGAGATAAACCCAATTAAAACAATTCCGGATGTCATATCTGTATCACCGATTGGTTGTGTTCGACTGGCTTGTAACCAAAAAGAAGATTTATTTAGTCATTTTGCGAATTTGCCATCAAGATTTTCAATAGTTTGTTAGAAAGTGTGTGAAATTTCATCGTGTTGATTCCTGTCACCTTGTTTTGTGACTTTTTATGACTATATTTATAACATTTTACAAGCGAAAATAGAGAATAGGGCCATACAATAAAAGATATATCTCCTTTAAGTTTATGATGTGTTAGCAGCGATACGTTTTACAATGAAGGTCCACTTTTGATACCGAGTGCACAAAGAATGGGCCTGGCTGGTGTTTATGTTGTAGATACCACATTTCTTTGGAACACAACGATGAATCGGTTTTTAAAGGGTAGTACATTATTCATAAGTTTTATCAACGAGTTGCACTGCACTGTGTAACCAGCATTAAATCTACAAACGAACAAAGATCTTTTATAGAACATGACAAAAATTGAAGATATCTATTTCAACATGCGGGAGACTAACAGCGGTTGTTTTTCGTATATATCTTAAAAGCAGTAAGGAAGGGTTACAGTATAAACACATTGCTTTGACTATATGTAGCTCGTCAAAAGAAGACGGTGTAGAATATGACACAAGCTTGCAGTTGAAGTTGACTACAAACTTCAAAATTAACCTTTTCTATACAATCACACAGAACCAATCTAACCGTTCGCTATCGTCAACATCTCGTAATTTGAATGTTGGAAATGTGTTTTTTTTCATCATTACTTTTGTTCTATTATACAACTATAAATGTAATTGAGAGATTTTAATCGTCACTAAGTTTGGTTTAGCATCTGTGTTAATGTATTGATATGCATAACTTATTTCCTATAAATAACGTGTTTGTGTACGAGATACGTGTGTGCGTTTTAATGAAATCGGCGATAGATTTATGAGGTCACGGCCGTCATTATGATGACAGCACTGATGTGACGGTACGTATCAGATTGTTGAAATATTCCGATTAAACGTTTTACAATCTTCAATGGAACTTCCTGTCCATCTAAATAACTTTACTGATTGGACTTCTGTCGATGTGTTTTATCTCGATTTCATGAACGTCACAGTTTTAAATTGGTTAACACGTATTGCCTGTATACGTGTTCGTCTTTCTGTCACTGTTAAATCTACTGACATAGGAACTGACTTCTGTATCCTTGTAAATTAAATCGTCAGACAAAGCTGGTGAATTAGGATCAAGAATCATGGAGACAATGAAACAGAATGGCTGCATTAGAAAATTAAAACCTCAAAGACGCCATCGACTGAATGTCTGTCCAGTGGCTTTGGGTGACATTTGTCTCGCGCAAAATAACCAAGCTTGGTCATTGGTTAAACTAGGCATTCTTCAAACCATAACACGTGTAATGCATTTACGATGAGAAGAATCCATGAGCACCGCATGCTAATTCGGGGCGGTATTTCATTTCAAACAGAACAACGTTAGCTAATGCCGTCTGATTGATGCTAACGCAAGCTTACTCGAGTCACGACCCCATTTACAAAATAAAAACACTGTTCGTGTCCTAATGGATTGGTAGCAAACACGTCTGCATAACAATCCCATTTTCTTTCTAAATATTTACTTAGCTCTATATATTTGCTCGGTAAATTACAAGCACACTCCCATTGACATATGGTGGAGGAGATTATGCAAGACAGAACGACATCTGTCACCGAACTCGCCCTCAGACCTTTGGTATCCAAGCTTTCTAAAGCGTTTCATGCAACATATGGGCATGCCCTGTTGGCTCCCGCCACGAATATATTTTCTAAACATATCACATAGAGCTCGTGTCTTTACGTGCTATGAGGTAACACTGATATATCTATTTCTTTTCTTAATATACTTCCTTAGCAAGCTTAGTAAATCATATTCTAGAAGGATAAATAATTGGTCTATGTCAGGTAGGTGTAGTAAAGATAAATTTGTTTATAGGTACATATCTACATCCTCTCCCATCGGATAAACTCGTGTTGTGTCATATATTTTTATTGTTAAAAGTTAAACAATGCGTACATGTAAATCCCCGAGAAGTGTCTCTCGAAACATTCGTTGACATACACATAAATCTAAATTTCCACTGCAAGTCCCTGTTTAAGCATTACCAGATGTAGTTACGTTTATATGGCCGTGAACGCAATTTGATCAGTGTATGTCATTTTGAAAGTTCTCTTCCCGCCTCGAATAACGTTAGAAGCAAACACTTTGGTGACGTAAGGCTGTTCCAGGAATTTCGTTTGCACTTATTTATAGGAAATATATGTATCTACATGCAAATAAAAAATGTCTATAAAATTAAGAATGTAAATATATGTATTGATCAGCTTTTTAAATGTTCATGCCGGTATGAACATTGAAAAATTCCGTTCAATCTTTATCGATTACGCAGTGTCTATTCGAAAAAAATGAATAAATAAAACAATAAAGTTACATGTACATATATGTGTGTTACTAACATATCGTGTTAAATGTTGGAATAAAACGTCTCTCTGCCAGTATCGGGATTCAAAAGAACCAAAGCTTAGAAGCTCTATTGTCTGAACGTGTCTTATAATTTTAATCGTACTCTATTATTTACAGGCAAAATGTATACAACAGGAAGTATAGCCTTTTATTTCACAATCTGAATTACATTTATGTATGTGTCTATAAACTATGTAACACCAGGCCCCAGTTAACCAAAGGTTGATTAGCGTAAAGCATTGATTAGGGGGGAATTTGAATATATGAAAACAATAATATCTAGTATACCTGATACAATGTATAACTTCATTGCTGAAGGTTTGTTTGAGACCAAAACGATTGTTGTGTTCTGAGGACTTACATTGCTTCAAAATCCCTAGCTTGTTTTAAAACAATTATTAAATGTTTTCACTAAACACTGGCTAGATTTAAGGATCCCCGTTCCACTGCCAACAACTGTCATTAGGTATTGGAGACTTTTTTTCCAGCATGACTATAGCTTTGGTCAATTATTTCTGAATAGAAAACCATACCTTACGGGACTTATGAAGAAAATAATAAAGATGAAATAAATAAAATATATAATCAACAACAGTGTTCCTAGTCTAAACCTCAGTGGGGCTAGACCGGGATTCGAACTCTGAACCGATTGAGCTATCTGGGCAATGGTATCACTGTACATAGGATAAACAACAGTGCAGCGGAACAGGGATCCTAAATAACCAATGTTTGAGCAACAGAGGCCAGATATCTTTTACTATAACCGAGGGACGGTTATTCCTCAGACCATTTTCATCACTCTTGGAGTAGTACTAGGGACTCTGCTCGGAGCCAATGACAAATACTACAACTGTACACATCAGGAGTGCTACCCACGTGTTAATGTACTGCTATCGAATCAGGATGACCACACAAGTGGCCAGATGTTACATGAATGCTAATTCGGTCCACTGGGCGGTCATTGGGGTCAGTCATTGATACGATTGTCCGAAACATTGACCGACGTGTCTTGTCGGACGCAGATACAGAATGAACATTGTTGTCACCGTCAGATACTTTCGATCGTACGGTCAAGTAGCGGTGAACTTCCCCCAACAGATAAGAGGAAGATGGACATTGTTAGTGCCTAATTAAATTACCTTTAACAATAATATCCTTTCAAGTATCTTCGTGTGTTTGGAGAGGAAAATTAATCGCTAAATCTGTACCAAATTGAAACAGTGTGGCGCGTATCGTTCTGAGTTTGATGTATTGGCATTAACAGATGTTTGTGGTAAGGTAACTCATTTTTAATAAATTCAAAATTCGGCGTCATCTCCGCATGTTTACCATTGGGAGTACATGTGGTTAGTTGAAATGGGTTTCTGATCACCCCTAATCCTCTAACTTCGTTGTCATTAACAAGCTTACCTCATAGCTGAAATACACTTATATACCACAAGGTGTTGAGCAGGCGTAGTGCATGTTTATAAGTGCTTCCTGACACAATTTAGTATTCTAGTTTAACTTAATACTTCTGACAGACGAAATCATTGTTTCATCATGTCAGTTATACAAATGTACAAGGCTATTAAATAGTGTTGTTGTTGTTTTTTTAGAAAAATGTATCCAATTTCATATTTGGGAAATAAACAAAATGAAGCAAAGTTGTTTTTGTTGTCTTGTGTGAATAATGTTCTTATTCTTTTAGTGTTATTTAATTTTAGCGGCAACCTATCAAACCAGTTATTTTAGCGGTATCCTAATTTTAACGGGTTTTCTATTTTAGTGTCGTTACTACATATATGTATTGTAGCGGGATCTCGTTTTAGTGTTGAGTCAGTTGCACTTATTGTTGTTAAGTGCCAACAATAAAAAAAAAGTTCTTGAGGACGTACATCTGCTCCACTGCTAAAATATGAAACCGCTAATACATGTAGGTTTACAGTAAATGACAACGTCTGCAGATCAAATTTTGAAAGAAAAACAGCTTATCCTTAGTATAGCAAAATGTAGACAATCTTAATGCATCAAAACTGATTTGCTCGACGTCAGAACCAAAACCAACGTACTGTAGTATACTTATATGTTGTGTACCATATCAGGAGGTGTGTGCTGGATTGAATTAAATTGTGAACGGTATGGAGATGATTAGCGGGAGAAACTAGTATTGTGTGTGAGAAGTGATCATCGCCAGGTTCCTTTACTCTTATAATTACGTTTTACAATTCTGAAATAGATTTGTAGGCGTGTGAGTATTATATAATGTGTTTCTCTCATTTTTTGTCATCTACAGAATGGAACGACACGACACCACTTCCGGTCATGGTTTTTGTCCACGGCGAGTCTTACGACATCGGAACTGGAAATGCCTACGACGGAAGTGTCTTGGCAAGCTATGGGGAGGTCATCGTCGTGACGGTCAACTACAGGCTCGGAGTTCTAGGTAAGGGATCACATTTATTTTCAAAATTTGAAAGCAAAGAGTTGACGAAAAAAGTTGACGAAATCAGTTAAACACTGCCCTTGTTATGAATATGAAGGTAAAATTTGTATATCTCTTTTAGTCAATGGTCTTACTAGAAGGCTATCCCGCAAGTAGTAGATTTGGGCTTGTGTTGAAACAAAACCAGGAAAACAAATCAAAAGGAGGAGATGAGGGTGGGGATGGGGTGTAGAGCAGGAAGAGCAAACGGAGATCCCGCTTATAATGAGTCAGATCAATTCTTTCCGATGTCCAATTTGACACGATAATATACACGGCAGGGATACTTTCTGAATCCATTCAGCCCCTGTTAAAAGTATTGAAGTTAAACTGGGAGTAATTGTATCGAAAATGAGGCGTAATTCCAAAACACGAAATAAGGTGACAATATCTGCTTGTAGACTTCATACGTTATACTACATTATATATACTTTGTATTTTTTGTCTGAAACTTACAGCTCGATATGGGGTCCTCTGTGTTGTACATAGACGTTATCTAGACCGAGTTAATGTACTGATATACACTTATCACATATACATGTTTATGTTGAGATTATCTCCCTTGACATATTGATTATTTTATTATTATCAATATCCAATCATTTTGAATTGTTGTGTAAATAAGATGCATGTTCAAATGTGTTAAAAAGAAATAATACAAAAGTCGTATATAACTAATTCGAACCTTTTTTTCTGATAGACGATCCAGATCACAGTCGAGTAGCTTAGATCCTTAAGTGTTGGAGACTAACTTCTACACAGAAATCTGTAATACACACTATTCAGTGTCGGAAGCGTACTTCTACATATAGCTTTAGGAAATAGATCTTAAAGTGTTTGAACTGAACATAGAAAACAAATTCTAGAAAATGTAATACAATATAGGTCTTTAATCAACATGACAACACATTTACCGTTTTCGCCCCCCAAAACATATCCCTATTTTATCGAATCTAGAGTCATACTTTATACAAAATCACAAACATCCTGCTGAAATCCTTCTCTACAATCCCCTCAATTATGAAGCTTTTTCACATCGAAAAAACGTATCTTTCAGAAAGCTATAGTGTTACCAATTAGTCCCGCCGTGTTCGTGGTGGAAAAGCACTCCGTTATCTCTGACTAATTATTACCGCCCTGTTAATGAAAAAATTGGCAAAAAAGTACTGTTAGCAGTTCGTGTTTCCACCTGTGGGATAACCGAACCACTTGTGTGACCTTCCGCGGGGTGAAACCTTACGATAGCACCGATATATGTAAAGGTCACGTGGGACCTGGAGGGGGAATAAGGATCACATGTCCTAATGGGCAAAAACGAAGTGTAGCGATGGCGATCCGTTAGACCGCCAGCTCCATTTACCCCAGATCACAGGCATCCGGAAGAAATATGCGATTTTCCTAACGAGTAAAACGTATTCGTAACTTCAGAATTACTTGGAAAACCTCTCACCGTTCTGGAGCTTTGCAAATAGATTTTCCGGCTCTCTGAAACGGAAGACGCCGTGTAGTTTCGACATTAAGGGAACGCTGTGTTCTATTTGTGTCTAAAGTAAAGTTGAAATTGCAAAAATGCTTCAGCGACTCCACATGTCCTTTGATCAATGAGAATGGAAAATAGGTAACGGTCATATATTGTCGCGTGACCAGGTTAGAACACGGAGTCGAGTCTTTGTGTGTAGGTTGAGGAACAACAGCGATAATAAGCTAAGGCCAACAACGTGTGTGCCAATAACTTCGTCTCGCTGGGTGATTTTTTTTTAAATTAATCAGGACACACACTTTAGCTTTCTGCTTTCTAGAGTGTCCCCCTATCTATATGGTAGGGGTTTTATACCATGCATACAACGTGCGGGTGTATACATCTCCCGTTCTGTAAATCTTCATGTTTTAACAGGTATTTATAATCCTGCTTCAAATGGGGGCTTTTCGTCAAGATTTAAGTGCATGAAGTAAAAAGTAACGCGTATATACTTTAAGCAACCCCTGACTACAGGCGTCGTGATATTAATTGATTTTATGTTGAGTAGCCTCTCACCCTAATCTTGCAATGTTGTACTGCAGTTTCTACACCGTCAGACTTAAGGCTAAATATGTTGTAATTTTGCATAAATATTTGCCACTTCGCTTGCCGCCAACAAATTTCAATGTCCCTTTTTTTCCTCACGAGATCCTGATTATATTTTACCTCATTTTATCGCCAAACCCCTTTATAACGCCAAAGGACTACAGGCTTTATGGGTCATTTCCAGCCTTCTCGGGGATTTAAAATCAGTTGTTATATTAGTTGTTACGAATAAATGAATTACACAAATATGAAGTTTCAAAATAATTTGACAACTGGTTGGGTAGATATGGCATTGCAAAGAGAGAAATCCGCAATTTTATAATAAAATGCGTGAATATCGTCTGTTTTGCTCATTTTGGTTGAAAAATCGCCATTTTGAAGGAAATTAACTGAACACTTTTCAATTTTTGAAAGCCTGCACATGCACCAAACAATGCTTAAACCTTTACAAGAATGGAAATTTTTTTTGTCACATGCGGAGGCTTTCACTTCTGCATGCTAATTGTCAAAAAACACCACATGTTGGCTTTACCTTATAGCAACGCAATTTTGTTGCTATGGTAGGGCATGTACGCATGCGCGTTTGAAAATGGTCTTCACAAAGAAAGATAGCCCCAATAAACCAAAATGATGTTTATTATAGAAAATGGTAAATAAAGTTCTTTTCTCCGGAAAAATGATGGCAGTATAAAGAGGCTTTACTTTAAATCCACGAGAATAGTATCATATCAGTATTTCTGCCGTGTTAGTAAATATTACGGACTTAATAGTATATTTACGTTCAATCTATCACACTTTTACTTAAAAATATATTATTTTCCTGAAATAAAGTTATCACTTAAAAACATATCGAAGTTTTACTTTATACTCAAACAATGTACATCTGTACGTACATGTAGTAAACGTGTCGCAATTACGTTTCAAGACCTACTGGTCCCTTTGTTATAGCTTGCCAAAGGGACCAGTCGGTCTTGAACGTTGCAACACGTTAAGAACATGTACGTACATTATTTGCGTATAAAATAAAACTTCGATATTACATATTTCCAAACTGATGAATCTTATTGAAGACACTTAAAAAGCATGTTTCAAATCTAAAACAGCAAAGTGAAAAAGAAAAAAAAACTGCCAGTAATCATCAAGTTGAAGCGAGGTATGGTTCCAACTAGCGTTTTAATACCTATCAAAAGCTCTAATTTAATACTCCTCTGTGTTTGTCAACATTTCTGATACTCGAGTAAACGACTCTGGCAGTATGTACGTACACTATCGCGATATACTGTGTTTGATTAAAAGGAGAAAGCTTATTTTTACGTTGGAATTGCTCCTCTCATCAAAACTAACACGGTAAGTATATTAGACACGCATCAATCAATTCTCCCTTCCTCGGTTATCTATAGCAACTTTGATAGATGAGATGTCAACATTTATTTCATTTCTTGATAAAAGAGTGAATAATGATAAGAGGTTAAGGTCATAGTTACGCTGTTTATTTTGCAGAATTCGAGTGGGGGGAAAAAGAACAAGATTTTTTTTATCCCTCCTCAAACTTTATTATTAACGAGAACAGTCTTGGCGTAATATAACATTCAAAATTGATAATAAAAGAATATTTCTGCCTCATCGATTACATTGAATTACCGTGTTGGAATTGGGGAAACCATGTTACCAATATTTCTAAAAATAACATTAAAAAAAAATAGAACACTTTGTAAACAGTTTGTTAAAATGAACGAATTGTGTTTGAACTAAAATGATATTAACACCGACAGATTTTAATGTTTAAGAAAAACGTTAAAATAATCTCACTTTTAAACTTATACTACTCCCGAAGTATTTTTTCATATCTTTATATCCTTCTTCACACCTCTACTAACAAAATACTGGAAATCGATTTCGCTATAAAAATTTTGGGGAAATGGTTCTAATTCCGAACCATAAAAGTTTGTTTTCCTAAACTAATTGTAAATGCGGAAATAAAAATATAGTTAAGTTTTTTTACCTATAAAACTACATTTATCAATTAGAATAACTGTTTTATCATTAAGATACTGAAAGTTGAAAATTTCTGGTGACAAACAATTCTGATAGAATCAAATAATTCATGTTTATTACATTTTAATATCTAACTTGTAACAGCACCCTTTGATAGTTTAAAAGGTGTAAAACTTATTTTGAACATCCTGAACATAAATATCCCTCCCTTTTACTATTGATAATATACTGAACATAAATATACTGCCATTTTACTATTGGTAACATGCTGAACATACATATACTACTATTTTACTATTGGAAACATACTGAACATAAATATCTCGCCATTTTACTATTAGTAACATACTGAACATAAATATACTGCTAGTTTACTATTGGTAACATCATGAACATAAATATCTCGCCATAATTTTACTATTAGTAACATTCTGAAAATAAATATCTCGCATTTTACTATTAGCAACATGCTGAACATAAATATACTGCTAGTTTACTATTAGTAACATGCTGAACATAAATATACTGCGCGTTTACTATTAGTAACATGCTGAACATAAATATACTGCTATTTTACTATTGGAAACATACTGAACATAAATATCTTGCCATTTTACTATTAGTAACATGCTGAACATAAATATACTGCTAGTTTACTATTAGTAACATCTTGAACATAAATATACTGCTAGTTTACTATTAGTAACATGCTGAACATAAATATACTGCGAGTTTACTATTAGTAACATGCTGAACATAAATATACTGCTATTTTACTATTGGAAACATACTGAACATAAATATCTCACCATTTTACTATTAGTAACATGCTGAACATAAATATACTGCTAGCCTACTATTGGTAACATGCTGAACATAAATATACTACTATTTTACTATTGGAAACATACTGAACATAAATATCTCGCCATTTTACTATTAGTAACATGCTGAACATAAATATACTGCTAGTTTACTATTGGTAACATCATGAACATAAATATCTCGCCATAATTTTACTATTAGTAACATTCTGAAAATAAATATCTCGCCATTTTACTATTAGTAACATGCCGAACATAAATATCTCGCCATTTTACTATTGGTAACATGCTGAACATAAATATACTGCTGTTTTTACTATTAGTAACATACTGAACATAAATAGCTCGCCATCATTTTACTATTGGTAACATACTGAACATAAATATACTGCTATTTTACTATTGGTAACATATATACTGAACATAAATATCTCGCCATCATTTTACTATTTGTAACATACTTAACATAAATATCTCGCCATTTTACTATTGGTAACATGCTGAACATAAATATACTGCTATTTTACGATTGGTAACATACTGAACATAAATATCTCGCCATTTTACTATTGGTAACATACTGAACATAAATATCTCGCCATTTTACTATTGGTAACATGCTGAACGGATAGTTTTATCGGTATTGTTATTACAGTTGAACACATGTTTAACAAAACAGTTCCGTTTTATTTGTTTCACTGTTCGGAGCATGTTTAGCCATTAGTTGTGATCTGACGTTTATCAATTTTGTGGATTTGTCTCACAAACAATGAAAGGTACAGTATTAGCACTAATTATTGTGTGTTACACATTCATATCATATCGATGTCGATCTGAGGTCAGCAAACAAATAAACTAATCTTCATATTTTTAAAAGGGCATTTGTCTTGCTGATTTCGTGTAAGGTAAACAAGATTTATTAAACAATTTGTCATCAATCATTATGTTGTATCCGCCGTGTTACCTAACGCCAAATCCAGATCAGGACGGGTCATTTGACATATTGCATCAACTTTGTCACCCAATATCATATTTATAATTATCTGTCTGACATCGGATGACGTCTGTTGAGTATGACCGGAGACACACACTCCACAGCACGTGATGCCACGTGACACCAGCCGATGACGGACATACGACACCACGTGCTGGCGAAGTCGTGTATCACGTTATGAACAGCGATTTGTCATGCCGCGGGACATAGAAATACAGTCATCCCGGGTAATTGCGAAGTCACATGATCTTTCCAAGACGAAGTGACTGCAGCAATGAAGTGAAACGAAGATCAATCGGTTTTACGTAAGGAATAGTAATCCGGCGGTTTTAAGTGTTCCGGCTGATCAAACGAAACATCAACACAGACTATAGAATTGATAGATAGAATCAAAGACAAGTCTGTCTTAAAAATTAACAATACAGAACTACACGAATGTATGATGAATTGGACCATGTTCCCCAGCATTCTCTTCTGATGTGTTAGATTTTTGCTGAGCTATCAGCTATACGCATGCGCCGTTCATCCAAGAAATGAAGCCACTCCTGTTCCCATCAATAACGGGGATACTTCACGAAATTCAAATAATATTCACCATGCATCAGCCTTGGTTGTTTGATATCTTTTTGTAATACTTTAAAATAATATTTTCTGAAATGTTGATAAATAACGTCATGAGAGCCCAGAGTGAAAAACAATAATGAAGAATTTATGAAACACTCTCGTGCACCGCGAGATATTTCGAGAGATTTGAACAGCATCAATGTATCCTCACTTGTGGTGCATTTACCTCCTTAAATATTTTGGAAAGATTTCAATTTTACGTTATGGCACGCTGGTATGAAAAACCCAATTATCAGTACCGATATTATCTTCTTAAGTGTTTAGAGCGACGCACCCATTGAACGCAGAAAGGTGGTATTGCTTCGGGAAGGGGATGAAACCATCAAGGCTGGGCAAAACAAGTCATACCTCCTCTTCATCTGATGGCAGAAAATTTACTTGATTTGCGTGATTTTGTCTCTGATATTGACTGATTGTGTGAGCCGATTGTACTTCAAAGAGAGGCAGATATATCTTAACCTCATCTAACCTTTCAGGCGTGTAGCTGCCTTTAGGCTAGTACGCACGAACACAAAAACACTGCTTGTTGCACCACTCATTTGTCTCCATATCAAGGTCCTACTCTGGCCCCACACACATATGAATCCACACCGGACAAGGGAAAGCTACGTCCTTGACTTCAAATATATGACTTATATTTCATCTTTACACTAATCTCTTTCTCTGTTGTTTGGTACAGGGTTCCTGAGCACGGAGGACAACAACGCTAACGGAAACTACGCACTTCTTGATCTCCTGGCCGTCCTCACCTGGCTTAACTCAAACATCGGCGAATTCGGCGGTGACGTCAAACGCATTACCTTATTTGGGCACGGATATGGAGCGGCATTGGTGAACCTCCTTTTGCTGTCCCCCATGGCTGATGACAGTAAGTGTTACGGATTATAACGTTATACAACACCTGGAACCTGCTAGATAGGAATTATACAAAGAATCACCTTGACTATCTATTATAAACTCAAGTTAGTAAGTTGTAAGATTGTAGATAAGAAAAAAAATTAACGCGATTTTCTTTTCAGGGGTGGAGTGCGCGGTTGAAAATTTACATTGTACAAAAGAGGAAACATTTTTCTATCACCATATTTAATGAAAAGGGTAGTGACCGACTTCGTTATAGGCCCATCAAAATCTGTCTGGTGATATGTGTATTGATTGATTTATTTATGTATTAAGATTACATGCGACAAAATGACACAGCCGTGTTAAGAGTTCTGTCCCCGATTACAGCCCATGATACTTGTATTTTGGTATTGTTCGATGTTAACAGTCTGAGTTTTCATTAAGCTAGCTTTTTCGAAAGTTTATGTATCCATTATTGCACATGTACTTTATCGCGAATGAATATGATTTATCAAAGATATAGTCATGCCGTAAAAAAACAGTTTAGAATGCATAGTATCATATTTTGCAGTGGTACGGGGATCCTTAAACCCGGATGTTCCTTAACTGAGAAAGTGGCGGAAGATTTTAACTAGCCACTTAATTAACATTTATTTTGAGCTATATTTGTAACAGCCGACTTTTTCTACACATAAGTATGATCAATCAATTCATAGACAAAATGTTGAATTTCAGTTGCTAAAAAACTTATGATGTCACCGACAGGTAAAACAAATTTAATTTCCAAACAATGTCAAACAGAATGTCTGAACCAAATTGTGCTTCATTAATATTCATGGGTGTATTCATGGCGGGCCTAACAATTGAACATGCAAAGCACGTGTGGCCGCGAGTGTGAATGGTGAACCACAAGCACCGAATAGCGTAAAACATGACAACTGTACGTTGGTTTGATCTATGACGTCATGTTTCTGTCTAATCAATGCACGTGTGTAACACCCCTATGTACATTGCATAATACGTCATGTAGTTAGAATGTCTCTTTCTCAGATTTGAAATGCTTGTAAACGTAAACCACAGTATAAACATTCTGAAAACAACAACATATTTTACATGAATGATTTTAACGTGACGCATGTGCATATGTTCACACATTGACGCACGTGTTTATTACAGGAAAATGACATAAGGGTTCATGTTTGATTTTCTTGTAATGCAGTCGGCATATTAATAATGCCTACGAACTGCATCTGAAGCAGTTTGATGCTTATATTTACATTTTCACGTCTTTCCGTCTTTTAAAGAATAATAACTTTAAAACATATTTCTGAAAATCCCGCAAAATTTCATTGGAATATTCGACAGGTGGAACAGCCCAAAGCGCGTGCATTTTCTTCTGACCGAATCTTTCATATACAGTCTATTGACACTATAAACGTAAAACATGTTTCTATCTGTTTGTACAAACTTTGCCATGAATTGTAACAAAAGAACAATTAAAACATAGCAATACTGTTTATTATTATGATTATTGACGTTGTTTGTTAATGACGTCACATTGCGGAGGCATGTCCGTTAAATTCGACAATTGAGTAATGCGGTCGGCGCTGAAAACATGTCACCCTCCATTTAATTGTTGATGTTGAAGAATCATTTTGAATGTTGAGGGGTGACAAAAGGATCTAAGAAAAAACATCTATAATCAAACGTGACTTCCGTATTGTCTGTGTTCACTTTTTAGTCCCGTTCGTATTACTACACACTTCTGTCCATAGTTTTCTAACACACGTATTTATAAACATATGTACATGTTCATACACCGACGTGCATTGGTTTTTCAAGTCAGGCACGTGTTTATTCACGTGTGAAATATTTTTTCGCTAATGTTTACAACTTCAATCAACGACTAACAGCAAGTTAAAAAACAAATACATAAACAAATTGTGCATTTTATTGAAAAAAAATAATGATAAGATAAATAAACTCGTTCCGTGCATTTGCACTCATATCATATCCGTCAAACATAAAAGAGAATACAGAAGTGCATGTTTCATACGCATATTATACCCCGTCAAACATACAATTTGGTATAGAAAATAGCAAGGAATGTGATATGACTTTTTTGAGAATTATCGGGACAACAGATCAGATTTATTGGCGAACCACTAACATCCCAACTCCCTTCTCTCCTGATACCATTGATAACGACCTCGCTCAGCTGGGAGGAGTGGTCCCCTTGTGCAGCCGCCGATCTCCGACGAGAAGCATTATCTTTCAGCGCGCTACCTTGCGTCAACGTTGGAAAACCGATGTTAAAATATGTGTTCAAATCGAGTTTCACCTACAGATTTACTTATATCGATGTCTTTTACGTATATATACAGAAATTAAAAAAAAAACTCCCGTGAAAGTCGAAATATGAGATTTAGGTGGTGTTGCCTTTTTTTAGCTTTTTTCTAAATCAATGAAATGGGATACGTATTGCCGGCTTACATAGTGTTCAAACCATTACTCGGGACTCACCGATAATTCTGTGTGTTTTAATGCAGACCTAATGTCACCAAGATCTAGGAAAGTGCGATTGGTTGGGGAGCTCATGGGAGATACGAAATCAGCATTTGGCTGTAAAGTATTCCGAGGTTTCTGTCTTTGAAGGACGATTGCGAGGAGCACTCGATAATGAAGGCTCCCCGGGGCTCTGGCCTAAACCATTCCAAACGTTTCCCATCCCGTGGTCGTTAACATACTGCTGTTGATAACTGTGTGATATGTACACGTTTCAAAACCTCTTTGAAGTAACCAAACTGTTGGGTTGCAAAAAAAAATGAAGTTACGAAATATATAGTCTCGTGCAAAACACATGTACGTGTAGTTATCAGTGGTTTGACAGAACAGCTGTGTGTCCTCCTCACCAGCCGATGTGTGGGTGTCTGCAGACAAGGCGTTCTTCAGGGCACATGTCATGGAATTAACAAAACAAGATTAAGCAATGGAGTCAAATAATGTTGTTAAGTTGATGAGGATAGCACGTGACAATTAAAAACAGGCTACAATGGCAACTGTTAACCCCTCTAAGAAGAACATCTGGAGGTCTAACCTAAAATGAAATAATGATGAACCCGACAGTTACTTCTGTAAATATTTCAGTGAGCGTGTGAGTCAGGCGTGTTGCAAATATATGTGTTATGCGTTTGTATGCATTGCTCACATTTCGGCAGTTGAATATTTAGCTCTAACACAACTCACAAGTATAATGTGCAAGGTAGCATATATCCTTAACTCAAACGAAACTCACATGCATAATGTGTAAGGTAGCGTATAACCTTAACTCTAACACAACTCACATGTATAATGTGCAAGGTAGCATATATCCTTAACTCAAACGAAACTCACAAGTATAATGTGTAAGGTAGCGTATAACCTTAACTCTAACACAACTCACATGTATAATGTGCAAGGTAGCGTATATCCTTAACTCAAACACAACTCAAAGCAAATAACTGATTCGATGGGTAAAGTAGCTTTATATTCTTAGTTCTAACGCAATTCAGAGATAATATGTAATATATAGTGTAAATTGTATATCCCTAACTTCTAACGCAGTTCAGAGATAATGTGTAAAGCTGCATTATATCCTTAATTCAAACGCAAATGTGTAATGTATAGTATCCACTGTATATTCTTAATCCTAACGCAAATGTGTAATGTATAGTAAACAATGTATATTCTTAATTCTAACGCAAATGTGTAATGTATAGCATCCAATGTATATTTTTAATTCTATCGCAAATCACAGGGATGATATGAGACGAAGAATTCAAGGCCAAGTGAAGGAATTGAAGCGACATTTTAAACCAACAAAGTCGATTAGTCCGCCACGGTCACGATGTCTGTTTGGTTCATTAGTGTATATCACTAGACTGGTGACTCTCTCCAGTGAGGCGTAGTGATCGGCTAATCCGCCTGACATGATATCCAAATCCCTCAAAGTATAGTGTCAAAGACCACCCTTATATAACGTGTACAACGCTAATTAACTTAAGTTTGATCTCATTAACAACGCATGCGTCGTTTCATCTAATAGTGCACATATATATAGCAGATCATCCAGTGGTAAGTTGCTTACCTAAATTGCACGTGGAAACTAATTATGCATGTCGTGTGCCACTAGAGGTCGCTTCCGGTCGTTTGACATACATTCGCTTTCTCAGAAACTGATAAGAAATTTGTACCAGGGCTTTAGGTTGTTAGGGGATTGGGTTGATATCAAAGGAATTTTTCAAAATGATAAAAATGCTATCTGTCTACTGTACAGATATCGATCAGTGTTCGGTACCGACCGCGTATTCACACGCAAACAAACCCTCAAAAATGACTGGGAATTACTTTTTCAATCCGACATTGCTTATTGGGATATAGTGTTGTAAAAATAAAAGAAAACCCGCAAATGCATGACTTGTGCTATCAATTTAACTGCTGCCCTATTTTATTTTATGAGACTATAAGACCATTTCGTTACATTACATCGAATGTTATGATAATGGCGCCGTTATGGATATTATTCGTTTCTTCCAATAGGATTGATAGAAACATTCGTAGAAGCACTTTTGCGCATTGCATTTTTTTTTATATTCCGTTTGTTGATAGATTTGCAGCTACATTAATTTTGAACAAAGTGGAACTTTAAAAAGAAATCTTAAATTTATTATGATACTTTTTTCATGTATTATTTACAGCAATACTATATGTTAGACCAATCAACTACATGTAACGCTAATCCTTTAAGACATGCATTGTTTACAAAGTCGCGAAAAACGAATTTGCAAAACAGATACAAGGAAGGAGGGCTGTTTATTGAAGAGACCTGGTAATGATCTCAATTATTTGAAAACATTTAAGAAGTACAAAACGCGCTAAAAAAGCAACTTGTAATTTATCTCCCCGTGGATGGAAACCCAGTTAAATTAGCAAGTTGTCAGTGGGAATAAATTTGAAAATTAATATCCGGTTTTAACGTTATTTTCGAAAATTACCTTACAGAATTAATGCAAAAATTGTCCTGCCCAAGTCCAAATTAGATTGTTAGAGACCATCCGTGGAAAATTCGTACGAGCGTTTTTGTCGACAGTCAACGGGAACTAAGGGAATAAGACATGCCACGGTGTAATTGTCTCGCACGCGCTTCACGACGAACCGCCGCTGGAGCAACTCCTTAACAACAAACACCGACGTGCTTGGCGACGCCATGGAACGCTTTGTTTCTTAACCTTTTAAAACTTTTCATTTCATTTTTATTTTCAAATTGAATGACAGGGTTTGAGACGCCGTAAGTCATTAAGAAAGAATTAAAGTACATGCAGCTTCGGGATTACAATACAAGGGGTTCTTCTTTCGCGATTTTCTTTGCGCAGACTGAACATCACGCAGGTGCGAGCATTTCTTGTATCCAGATACAGGTACCGTACGCTAAAATCGTCAAACAGCAATTAGGACTAACAGTCGCATGGCTGCCTTAACGCTGATACGTCGGTGAATCCGTCATTTTTTTAATTAGACCAAAATTAAACAAAATCGCTGCTTGGAACCACTCCTAAATGATCCCAGTCCGAGTAAGGGCAAGCTACGCCCATGGATAGAATGATTACATTTTGAGCTCGTTAACGTTGAACATGAGAAAAAAACTACTGTATATCATTTGATATAGGTATTATTCTTGCGTCTAGGGCAGAGAGGCAATTGTATAGCGAATTGTACATTTTGTGGTT